CTCAAAGGCATGTCAGGGATGATGTTACTCCTGACAGGTGAGTCTAGAATCAGGGACGTAATCACAGCATAGTGGGTAGACTGTTTAAAATTATGATTGGGTGAAATTTCTTCATGCATAGGATGGTAGATCTTTGGAATTCTTTAACCCAAGGTCGATGGAAGCTCATTCTTTGAGTTTGTTCATGGCAAAAATTGATAGATTTCTGGAGATTCGTGATGTCAAGGGATATTCAGGCAGTCATGGAAGTGCCACTGTATTCAATGATGAACCGTTCTCCACCATTAGCTGGCCCTTGGTATATGCAATATTATCTTTACTGGTGGAATTCCCTCATGCCTGGGACCAAGAACCGAAAACGATATTCTGATTATGTTCCCACACTTTCTACTGGTTTTATTCTGTTCATGCTTGGATTGAAAACTTCCCCCAGTATCTGGTGCTGGAATCTGGTTTCCTAATCATTGTTCTCATGGGTGCTTTCTCTCCAACAGTAGGACTGTGAATCTTCCTCAATATATGATCCAGAGGTGTATTCCAGCAATGACCATACTGAAGATAGAGTATTCACTCAAAAATGGTGTTGGGAAGCTTAACAAAAATTTGTTTCTGTTCCTTATCCTGCTGAGGCTTGGTCCTGAATTTGTCTTCCCCAAGATCATATTTTTCATGGTTCTCATCCAACTCTTAATTTCAGCATCTGCCATGATGGGGTTTGAACCCATATCCTCAGAATATTTGTTGGGTCCAGAATCCCTACAGTATGGAAGCAGGCCACTCAGCCCATCAAGTCCACACCATCCATCTAAAGAGATTCCCACTCAGACACACCCCACTTCCCTATCCCTAAAAAACCTGCATTTCCCATGGCTAACCCACCTTGCCTGCACATCCCTGGACATAATGGACAGTTTAGCATGGCCAACCCACCCAACCTACACACCTTTGCACTGTGGGAGGAAACCGGAGCAACCAGAGGAAACCCACACAGACATGGAGAGAATGTGCAAACTCCACACACACAGTCACCCGAGGGTGGAATCACACCTGGGTCCCTGGCACTGTGAAGCAGCAGTGCTAACCACTGGATTAATAGTCTTGCGATAATGCCACTGGGGCATCATCTTCCCTCCTCATCCACCATCTTCAACATTCACTCCCTTCATAATCAACACACAGTGGCAGCAGCGTTTACCATCTACAAGAAGCATTTCAGCATCATACCAAAGCTCCTTTGACAGTCCCTTGCAAACTGGAAATCTCTGCCACTGACAGGGACAAAGGCAGCAGATGCATGGGAGCACAATTACGTGCAATTTGGCGTCCAAGCTGTGCACCATCCTGACTTGGAACCATTTCACCATTCCTTCACTGTCACTGTGTCCAAATCCTGGAACCCGCTTACGATCAGCCCCTATAGTTAAATAATTGCAGTGGTTCAAGAAGAACGCTCATCAGCACCTTCTCCCAGGCAATTAGAGTTAGGCAAAAATCACTGACCTAGTCAGCAACACCCACACCCCATTGACAAATGAATAAAGAATTCACAAAATATCTATTTCTGGGATATAACACTCCTCTGATTATAAAACTGTGGTATTCCCAGACCTTTTCCTACCAGGAACTCTCCTGCAAAATATTTCGTCCTGGGCGTGTTACATTGTTTACTCCACTGGACCTAAACCCTCAATCTGTTCCCTCTATTACAGAATATTCACTCATTCATTAGTCTGTGGATCTCCGCTATCTGGTTCTGTGGACTGTGTCTCCCAATAACTGGGTATTTGCTCATACACAGGACTGTGGATCTCCTCCAACATCAAATCTTTGGGTATATTTGCCAAGTAACATTAGTTATTCTCCCTCAGTTCTATCCATCTCATCAGACCAGCACTTATTTCATTTCACTTTTTCATTTTTACTAATTTAATTTCACATCAAATCTTTTACATCAGAGAAAACCCTTTTTAAAAAGCTGCAGGCAGTAATCTGAACATTTATTTGTACAATACTCTTCACAAGACCTAAGGAATCAGTCCTCCACCCTCCATCCCGTACTTACACTCCATCATGATTTATCTTCCGCTCTCCCCCATTTCTCACTCCCCTGTTCCTGATCCCCATTCCCCTCTCTTCTTCATCAACTCTTCTGTTTCCCTCCCAATTCCACTTTTCAATTTTCCCCAGTCCATTTGAAACTTGATCTCCCGGAATGAGCTGTTGCAGTGCAGTAGCCAAGTATTTTCCATTGCAAGTTGGAAAGCACCATTCTCAAACATTACAGTCATACTTCTGGACAATTGCAATCTTGAAGTAGTCAGAATATGAGTCTTATCCATCTGCTGGTAACTGCTGAACCTGTAATACAGAAAGCAGAGTAAAGTACAATTGTGTGGCAGAGGCAGTCTGAACCAAATGTACCAACAGACCCGAAGGAACAGGTGGTCTTTCCTTATCCTGGTAGATTAATCGTAAAGGACAGGTGGTCAATTCTTTACTCTGGAGTTAGACCTTAAAGGAACAGGTGGTCTTTCCTTAATCTGGGAGATGGACGAGGTGCCCCACAAAAGGTTGTCATGAAAATAAGAGCCCACGATTTTGGAGGGAGTACATTAGCTTGGATCCAGAATTGGTTAGTGGGCAAGAGACTGCAAGTGGGGACAAAGGTTTCTTTATTCTCAGAGATGGGTTGTTCAGGTCAAGTGGTCTGATCTTATTGCTGGAGATAGACCTAAATGCTAGGATGTCTGACCTTATTCTGGAACACAAGGCCTATGGGCCTGACCTTCTCCAGTGGTGGATGAAGACCCACAGACCAAGTGAAGAGAAAATATTCAAAGTGTGAAAAGTTCCATATTCAATTCTTAGTTTGATTCTAATGTGATAGCTAGAATCTCAGAGTCAGATAATAAGTTATATTGATAAATAGAATATAAACCTTACACATACAGTCTGTATGTGTTATTGTTCATTTGGTAGTTAATGTCTGATTACCTTGACAACAGTTACAAAGGTGCTGTAGAGAAAACTAAGAATAAAGAGAGTGGCAAAGGCAGCAACTGTTAGCGCGTTGTCATCTCCATCCATATCTTCCACCTCTTCCTTCCCTTCCTCTCCTTTCACATCTGGAGGGACTGCTAAAACAAAGAAAAATTGTGGCTGTTAAAGCTGACTGCGAACATTTCATACTGCTTCTCGGTAGTTTGAAGATAGTACAGTTAAGGAGCAAACCGTGGCAGAGCTGCACTGGGAGCAGTGAACCTTTAGACAATCATTCTCTCATTTTCAATCTATCTGATTTTGTCTCCATGTTTGCCTCTATCTTTCTCCCTTTCACTGCCTTCCATTTATCCCTCACTGATTCTCTCCCTTCTTTGTTTCACTGTCACTCTCATAGTTCCTCTCTCTCTGAGTCACACTCATAGATCCCCTCAAAAGTATGCACAAACAAATAACAGATGAACATTAAATTGTTTCCAAAATCTTAATCGTTCTGTCACCCAACTCTGTTGGTTCTCTGTTTCTCAGTTGCATTATCTAAGTTCAGAAATCACACGACACCGGGTTATAGTCCGAGATAACACGGTGTCGAGCTGGAAGAGCACAGCAGACCAAGCAGCATCAGAGGAGCAGGAAAGCTGACGTTTCGGGTCGAGACCCTTCTTCAGAAAAAAAA